TGTATATAGTGGACAACCAGGAATTTTAATCATTCCTGGTTGAAAAAACCTACAACTGTCTGGATTCCGTGATTCTGACATTGTGGAAAGTTCAGTTGGAAGTAAAGGTAATCGTGCCCCAGTCAAAGGTAACTAAGTTACATTTGGATTTAACCGTGTACACAGTAAATTTCGCCACTCAACAGACTCATCAAGGAGCGTCGACTGTGCCAATTTAGGGGTGTGATAGTTATAAGCGTAAATAGCGCATATTTTGTTCAGAAACTTGTTGTTTGGAATGCTGGAAACTGAGGTAATTCAGTGGAATCAGCTCGTTGCAATCGTCATCCAACCGGTGCATGTGTTTCAGTTTCTAAATCAAGTGAATTGTTGTCATCCAACGAGTTATAGTTCTTCAGGAAACTTGACTGCTTCTACGCGCGCTCAGTCTGAAACTAATATCTAGCGTAAACATTTGTGGATTGGAATTGAGTGCAGGTGTTGTACCTCATACCATTGAGTATCTACTATTATTATACCTACTGCATTAGTATATGGAAGAATTGATGGAGCTCTATCAAACGAGAACAATGTAAAGTTTGCAGCTTATAGTAGTTTATGATACGTTAAGTTCCGTATGTGGACACATTTGAATTGTTGACGAATAGATTCGGCACACAAGTTAAGGTCGTCCAATGTGGAACATGTGTACTTGACTGAAAACAGCAGAACCCACTGTGGCGTTACCAAATAAGGTCAATGGTGAGTTATCCCTCCATCGAAACAGGCGATCCAGATACAACAGCTGAAACATTACAGCTTACAGAATGAGGAACACTATGCAGCACAACTGTCGGTAAACAAATTGGTGCGCGTCTTTCTGTTTCCGTTCGAATTTCGATTACATTAAATTTCGGAGCACCCCTCCTAGGGCAGCGGGCCGATATTTTAAATTTTCCCAATATAGCCACTAGTGAGATTGTCCTGTTGGAACCAGCCACTCAACCACCGTTAAACCATGGGCATAATTTGAGAAACAAGCTGCATTGTGCTCCGGTTGCAGCAAACAACCACTCCCTGTACTTATTTGGTCAAAGTCGTGCACTTCGATTAAACCTCGTAAAGGTTTTTGAGCATCTGTGTTAATGAGCTTGTGTCAGTGCTGATTGTACGGAATTTGAAAGTACCATCCATTAGTTGGGTAGCGTTGCGTTCTTTAAAGTATTGAAATTTGTCTCATTATTGGATGAACCGGTGTCATTATCCAAATGATCAGTTGCCTGTAATTCAGCTCCCACTAATAATCGAAGACACTTCCTTTGTCTGTCAGACTTTAAGTTGATGGTTTCGACAGAATAGTAAGAGTTGAAACGGTGGCAAAAGCATTCATGGATTGAGCCTTTCAGGAATACAGTACAGTACTGTATTTACAGACGTTGTCAGTTAGACGGTCCACTATTTGTTTTGATTCAATCGAGTTCTCAATAACTGTAAGCTCTGCAGGTATCGTTGTATTACACAATGAGACGACGTGTTCAAGACTGCTTTATTTACACATATTTCTACCATAACTTTGGACACTTTAGTTCAGAGGTGAAACGTAGGATTGTGGCTGTTATGGTAGGCAAAATCCCACTTTGTCTGAGTGGAATGAACGTTAAATTACGAATAGTATTCGGGGATAAACAGGTATTACCCACACATCTGATTTAGTCCAAGATCATTAAATTCCGCGGCCAACCATGGATGTCACGTCCCTCGGGAGTAGTTTCTTTGAGAGTCCTGTCTTCTGTCTGTGTGAACAGACCCCGTTCGATGAAACTGTCTGAACAACTCCGGGCGTGAAATATAGGGTGCAGTGCCCTTTATGTTTTCACTACTTCCCAAATTATAAGTAGTGAATGTGCAAATCAGGAAAAATATGCTGGCACTCCACTGAGGAGCCGTTGCTCGTCGTGCGTCATAAAAAACAACCCAATAGTGCCTATCCTTAAATACTTATCTGCACAGTTCCCGTCACAGTGGAGAAATTCGGTTGCAAATTAAGTGACCACTCAAGAATGCTGATTGCATGCAGTTTTACAGAACAATATATTTTGCCATCTGTACTGTTGCACAGGAGAATAACTGTCGTTCTTCAGTCAGGTGAAAAATACTTGGCACCGACTGAGTAGTCATAGTTTTCGGAAATGTCTGGTGACAGTTGGTTGAAAGGACTAGGGACTGCTTGTATAAAATTAACTGCGACGACTGCACTAAGGTTTACATAGGACAAACTGCCAGGGAATTGCACATCAGAACTGGTGGGCATAAAAGAAGGATTAACAGACCACCAAGGAATGCAGAATACCAAACGCTGGTAAAAAAAAAAACTCAGTGATGGCGGTATATGCCGTAGACACGGGACATAGAATAGATTTGGAGGGAAGTTTTACGACGGGGCTGATAGCCGATGTGGTGGAAATTATTAAGCATCACAGCGTGAGTGGAATCGAAGGTGTGGGACTGGCAAGCATATGGAAAGCGATCTTAGATAAGCCGGGTTGACACGTGACTGTGTTGTCAGTCCACGTAGACTCATTAGCAAAAACTGGGGGTGGGGGTGGAAGTCCCAACCCGACCAAAGTTCACAGTATCGTTCTTACACAATTATCTTAGCGCCAGTTCATCCACACAGACGGACAGAAAGTTCAAACGATGTTCAAGAGAGATCATCAAATGGACCCAAACACATGTAGGTTCCCCCACCGGCTCAACACTTGTTCACCCACCCCAAACCCACAAAAATCCCTCGGCTGACACCCAACAGAGATTTAACATGACTAAGGTGATTGGTTCTCCTTCCTCCTTAAATATCGACCAACCTCGGAACCTAGTCACTTGATCTGACGAAGCTTCTGTGTCAAAAGCGAAACGTTACCGATCAATGAGTCTACCAACTATCGTTCTTATTGAGGCCTACAAAGGTGAAACTAAAAGTCATATTTGCTTGAAGGTAAAGAGAGCACCACTGTTTTAACATATCCATTTCTGTGCGTGGTGTAACTAAAACCATTCAATTCGAAACTTCCTTTTGAACCAAGCACATTCCCCGCTACGCGTTCGATAGCAATTTACGCGCGCAATGATCCACTCCTCGATGTGAGGTACTCCCCAAATAATATTAACAGAACAGTGACGGTAATTGAAATGAAGTTCGGCTGTGATGAACCATGCTCTGGTTCTTTGAAGTGCCCATTTTGTGGATAGACGCTCCGCGAATACCATTATTTTCATGCTTTGAAAATCGGTAGTCCACTGCACACGTGGGTCGATACAATGGGACGCGACTAGGTGAAAAAGGTAAGTAAACATGCAACTCAGTGGGGGAGTGAGTGATTGAGCGGGCGTGTGGGCGAATTAGTAGTCAAGAAACAAACAAGTATGTATATTCGTAATGCACTACTCATAAGGTTGCTGAAAGAAGTGCGAAACTGGTCTTAGGCGGTTGACGAATTTTTAGCAACCTTATGAGTAGCGCGTTACGAATATACATGCGTGGCGATATCTCGAATATCCTAACGACTGAAACATGAGGCGGCCTGGTGCATGCAGAATACCAAACGCTGGTAAAAAAAAACTCAGTGATGGCGGTATATGCCGTAGACACGGGACATAGAATAGATTTGGAGGGAAGTTTTACGACGGGGCTGATAGCCGATGTGGTGGAAATTATTAAGCATCACAGCGTGAGTGGAATCGAAGGTGTGGGACTGGCAAGCATATGGAAAGCGATCTTAGATAAGCCGGGTTGACACGTGACTGTGTTGTCAGTCCACGTAGACTCATTAGCAAAAACTGGGGGTGGGGGTGGAAGTCCCAACCCGACCAAAGTTCACAGTATCGTTCTTACACAATTATCTTAGCGCCAGTTCATCCACACAGACGGACAGAAAGTTCAAACGATGTTCAAGAGAGATCATCAAATGGACCCAAACACATGTAGGTTCCCCCACCGGCTCAACACTTGTTCACCCACCCCAAACCCACAAAAATCCCTCGGCTGACACCCAACAGAGATTTAACATGACTAAGGTGATTGGTTCTCCTTCCTCCTTAAATATCGACCAACCTCGGAACCTAGTCACTTGATCTGACGAAGCTTCTGTGTCAAAAGCGAAACGTTACCGATCAATGAGTCT